TTATATATGTAAGATCTAAAATGCTTTAGGTCATACGTTACCCATTCCTATACGTATTATGCCTTGTTAGTACGCTGCCTGCATCACCCAGACATGACATCAAGCAACTATTCAAATTATTTTCGAACATGTATAAAGTCAGCTGATATCACACACAACTGATCCAAAATAATGCACAGAATTACTCTGAGCAGAGAGCAAAAGATAAGTAAGATATGATAAAACTGCAGATACTAGTCTCAGCCAAAGATGCATTTTCACAGTTGCCCTTTCGTTCTCTTGTCTTTTCCTGTTCTTCAGTACAAAAATTATTTTTGTATTTTAATAAACTAACAAATAATAATGTCTCCACACCTGAAGTCTCCGTGGAAATTCCAAGCAACATATTTAGACAGAAGGGGACACAGCATTGTAATTTTTAGCTCACTTAAATAGACATTGGCTGAATCTTTACTTTGAAATGCTCGATGCAATGGTAACACCCCTTTAAAAGTCTTCAAAAAAGTGTCTCCACTAGTGTTCTCACTACAAACTCAGTGAACATCTCACAGGCCTGGTCATTCTTAAGTTTAGAAAATATTAGTGATGTCTGCAGTAAATTGAGGGTGATGATATGGGTCTTTTTCTCCCCCTCCCCTTTTCATTAACATAACAGCTCAAGACACCTTCACTGTCCATAACTTGATTCCTTAACAATCCATAGGCCTCTGTGTTTTCATTAGACTCCAGTCTAACCTTTAGTAAAAAGAGAAGAAAAAAAAAAAATACAATCATGTGTTCTATTTCCAACACAAGAAAGTTAGCAGGTTTTTTTGACCTCAGATTTGTTCATGTTCTTACACATCCAGGGCCAAACTCAATCAACAAAAATCAGCACCAGCCAATTACAAGTGCTTAGCCTATACAACTTTTATTTGTAGCAAAACCACTGTAATAACATGTAAATAAATGAGATGAAAAGGTGATTCTAATTATCAAGTATAATTTATTAAATACTTGAAAAGATTCCTGTAAAACTGTAGCTCTGTTACATACACACTGTAATTAAGACTTTTTTTTCCTACACACCCATAATCAAACCCAGCAACTATGACAGCAATACCCTGTACAAGCCCTACTATGAATTCCAAAGCACAGCATATGTTCCAGAACAAGCTTAATTTAGCTTGCTCTTTGTTTATAAACTGCAAGCCTATAACCACATAACCGTGATGACGTGGCACTAAGCAATGACACTCAATAGATACTAAAAGCACCGATATTCCAATGTTGTACTACTAAGGCATAGGGCAGGGGAGTCACTTCCAAGAAAGCACTTCTCTGTCGGTATTTCAAACACATACGTGTTGCTGAGCGCCGATTTAGATGCCTGCCATATGCACCCGAGACACACACGGTAAGATCATAATGAGGAAAAGAAAAATTACTTTGCTGTGTTTATTTCCAAAGACGTCCCTACATTCCCTCGCAGGGCACCATGTCTAGCCCGGTCACCACCGCACGCACCAGCGGCCTTACGGACCGGGGAGCGCCGCAGGCAGCCTCGGTACCGGCGCCTGCACGGGGGCGGGCTGGGTACGGGAAACATTTTCCCCATAAGGGCGACCAAGCAGCAGCACAGGTTGCCCAGAGAGGCCGTGCAGTCTCTGTCCGTGGAGGTATCCGAGCCCCGGCCGGAGCAGCC